TTTTGATCCACAGCCACCTCGACGCTGCTTCTGCTACGTTGGTGACCAACTACATAGCTCTTCGCTGGTTAACCCCTATGATGCCTAGCATCAAAACTTTATATATTTTACAAGTCGAGGTAAAACTTTTATCATTAATCACATTTATATTTTTTACACATTTATCATGTAGTTTCACTTTAGCTTCTGTGTGGCCCACAATGTAAAATGAGCTTGACATCCCCGGTCTAAAGCAACTCTAACCAGTCAGTGATCCCAGGATGTTCTGTGTCCTCACAAACATCAAACACTCTTCACTCCAAGGCTAAAGCTCTCTCAGGCTCAAGCATCAAAATAAAAACTAAAAAAAAAGTCATTTTAAACAGCTGGAAATGATTTTTTTGATGTAACTGCTCCGTGCAACATTCTGTCGTGAATTTACATCAAAGCAGAGAACAGAATCTTTAAACACATGAAGTGAAAAATGAATCTTCTGCTGGAGCCTCTCTTCCATGTTGCCTGTCCATTTCTTCCCCCGAAAGCTACAAACAGACGGACAGTTAAAGGGTGCAAAGAAACATCTGATCTGACTGAGCTGTCATTATTGTAAGTCTGTGATGTACGGTGGCTCAGAGAGTTTAGTGCATTATGCAGTCATTTAATCAAGAAGTCAACTGATATGAGCTCACTGACACACACAGCTACCTAATTACCAGAGAAAAAGCTGCTTTATCCTTTTTCACTGTCAGCAAGGGTTTGCTAGTTTCTGACGGGTAAATAAATATTTTGTTGACTTTTATTTTCTCAGACTTACGTTGGAGTGTAAGCTTTAGTTTTTCTGATGTCACCACTGGAGGGGGCTGTGGTCCAGCTGGTCCCAGCTCCAGCTTGGCTTCACACCAGTACTGGGCTCCATTATCTTCTCTTCTGGGGGTGATGTTCAGAGTGAAGGTCTCATTCACTGGTTTCTTCTGTTCACTGTTGGACTGTAGGTGACCCAGTGCTGTGTTTCCTCTGTAGAAGGTCACAGTGAGGCTTTGAACAGGAGCTACGTTCTGTACGCTACACTGCAGGGTGTACTGCTGATTCTCAAACATCATCTCAGTGTGGTTTACAAAGCTGATGGAGACACTTTCTGGAGACTCTGAGAAGACAGGGAAAGAAAGAGTAACACAGGTAGATGTCAGTCAGTAACCGCTGAGAGCATGAATCCATCTAACTGGAAAGAAAGGGAAAGAAACAAAAAATGTAAAGAACAACACAGAATGCAAGCGAAAGACTTGTTAACAACAACTAAGGGGTTGAATCCATGTAACTTTATATTTACGCAGAGAAAGAGGTTGATTTGGGATTATGAAAAATTCATTGGCAAGTGTCATGATCTAGAGTACATATTTACACAAAGAAATCAAATTCATATTATAAATGACGCAAAATTTACTAGAAAGTCTGATGTTATAAAGTAAGTACTTACGATAGATAGATAGATCCAGAGTGCTGCAGCACTGATCACCAGCATCATTGTTATGATAGCACATGACAGATATGCCCCATTCAATCAGTCTGTCAACCGTCCACAACATCGTGGTTCCATTTTGTGTAACTTTTCCCACAGCGTGCTCCAAACCTGAGGCATCTCCACTGCAGTCCTTCTGACATGCAACACATGTAACATTGGCTGGGTCACCGTACTTCACTACCAGTGCAGATGGAGTGAACACAGGATACTCTGTGCAGCTAGAACCTGTAAGAAACAAAGTATATATGTCTGAGATAATCAAGAAAACTATAATAACACCAGTGCTTTATAATCCATCTTATGACTTTATATTTTACAATAATAATATATTTTCTTGTTCAATCTCAAAATATCTGGATGCTTGATGATTTAGTAGTAAAGTCAGAAAAAAATCTACAAAGAAAATAAACATTTATCTTGAATGAATGTCACATTTGGACTAGATTTGAAAAAGATTTGTTTTATGCCATCATAACACAAAGTATCCTGATATGATAGCCTTCTCTTACCTATACATGATGTAGTTCTGATGTATGTTTTTTTACTCGCTTGTTTCAGAATAGTAACCAATTTATAACGTATTAGAATATTATCATTATAAGATTAAATGATAACCTTACGTATTATCCAGACATTCAACTAACAGCCATAGTAATTACTCGAAGTTTGTAAGTGTCAACCAAGATCTGCAGCTGCAGATCGTGAGTTTCTTTTGTGAGGACCTAAACATGGACAAAGGAAGGCAAAACTAGATTTTTACAAAAAGCAAACCGTTTATTAAGAATGGTAGAAAGACATGACCAAAACCTGTCAAACCAAAATAACAGAGAAAACCTGGAACACTGGAAATACCTTGGAAACACACAAACACACAAGCCAGACTCCAACAGGAGACACGGGGATGACAGAGACTCAAGAGGAACCTAACACAAGAAACATAAACTAGGCATACAAGAAAGTTAGAAACATGTAACTAACTAAACTTGGGGCTGACTCTAAAACTGGAATTTAATCCGTCTTTAAAATAGAAACAGTCACAAAAACACAATAACCACAAGACACTGTGTCAAAAGACCCAGCACGCTGACAGTAAGACTAACATTCAGCAGAATCAGGACTAAACAAGAACATCCCGAACACAGACGCTTTTTATAGCTGGGAAACTTTTAACTTACCACAGCTGGACACATAGTGGGTGCACAGAAAAGTGACTGAGGAGGCAACCAGAAGAATAAAATGGAAAAACATTATTCCCAGTTAGAGTTTTAGAAATAAAATGATCAAACATGAAACCCAAAGGTGTACAGAGAGGGAATCTGCCCTGTGAGTTCCCCGTTTTCCTTTTCTTCTGTAGGAGAACAATGTTGGCAGAGTAGCCTGTTTACCAAAAATATATCCGCTCTTCAGTTTTTTGCTTTTTTTAATCTTCAAAGATAGTCAGCTGTGAAAGTGAAACTCTGTTTTTCTGAAGTCAGGGATTCAAGTCAAGTCTGTCTCCTGAGGAGGTTTTACAGTCCAGATCAAAAGTTTAAGACCACTTGCAAAATGACAAAAAAAAAAAAATCATATTTAGCATTGTTAGATCTTAACAAGGGTCCAAGTAGAGCTTGCAACAAGAAGAAATTGGAGTGAGACAAGGAGTGAGCATGCAATTTATTGAAAACAGTGCTTAAACTTAAACTTGAAGCATGAAGACATTAATAAAATAATGTCTTCATGCGTGCTCAATCATCCAGGTATGTAATACCCAAAAGGTTGATTCTGTTCATCTGGATGTAGCGTTTTCAGTGGGAGAAATGTTTCATCATCCAAGTAACTTCTTCAGTCTCAGCTGACTGCAGGTTTCCCCAATCTTATAAACAGTACATTTGCACAATGACTGAAACTATGGAGAGCTATGGCCACACAATGATCACATCAAGGGTGGCTCAGCACCCCACAGTGTTATTGCCATCACCTGGCCAACAACACTCACAAGTGATCCAACAAAATAGCCATATTCCCCACAACACTAAAGGTCACATCACAAAACGCTCACCTCACAAGGATCTCATTAGCATCTATCAACACTGACATATGCACACACACACATGGTGTACACACAATGCCAACTTAAAAACAGCCTACCTGCCTCAGCTACAGACCATAATCATGAATAGTCTCAAACCTCCTACCAAGTTTGGTGCCACTGATTTACTATGTGCAACTCCCAGCCTAAAACACTAAAAACAACAAACCCCTTACTTTTCCTACCCTAGTCTTCAGTGGTGTACCAGGCTCGAGGCAACTTTAAACGCGAACTCGAGAGCAGGCAGCAGACCAGAGATATAGTCTCCTACCAAACTCTGAAGCGCACCCCCACCCAGGATAGCCACCAAACACAATAAACTAAAACAATAAAGCAAAACAACAAACAAGTGCTTCGATGGAAGGGCAGCACAGCCACCCAGCTGAAACACATTTACTAAAGGGAGTTTGCTCAATTACAGTGAACACCATCACTCACCCACTTAAAAGCAAAACAAACTGACATTCAGTCTCCACTAAAATGTCCAAAGATCCCGGACGAGCCCCCACTTATGTTACGACCCGGCTCAAAAGCCGCAACATAAAAACAAAGAGGAATAACAGAGTGTGGGTGAGAAGAGGTTTCATCCTAAAATGGAAAACCAGGTTGGCTAAAATGGAAAACCAGGTTGGCTAAAATGGCTGGTGCCACCAAGGCAAAGACTAGTGCACTGCCGGGAAGCTTGCCTCAGGTATGCTTTTATCCACACCTGACTAGGTGTGGCCAATTAGCACCAGCTGAAAACACTGAGACGATTAGAAGCTGCAGAGGGACGTAACAAG